TACATTGTATGAAGAATATATGCATATCTGTGTGTCTAATAAGAACTGGAATTATTTGTCACCATTTTGTGACACATTTGTTTCTGTGAAGTGTGATCAATGTGCCATGCATGCTTGTATCGTTACATGTGTTACATACGTTGCATTGAAAACAACAAGCTGCAGCAAATTGTTTAAATAGTATATGACCCTTGACTCGGTTTCAATTCTTTTATCAAAACATACATTGTAAATCCTTTTTTAAATGTTTTTGCTTTCATTCTTCCAATATAGATTATTTAATCCTAATTGCTGAATGTAAAAAATTGTTCTATCTGTAGCTTTATACCTTATTGGACACTGAGGGCGGTATACCTTAATAATAGTCATCGTTGATTTGCTGGTGTAGGGAAATATCTGTAACAGAATATTTCTCTAATTTAGCAGTGTCCTTGGTCCATATTTGAATGCGAATTAACTACAACATAAATGGAAAGTGTAAAACTACTCTTAAATTATAAATTTGGATTAATTCAGATTGACTTAAAAATGTGCACAAATTTCCTGGACACGGACGTAAATTCCTTCACAGTACAAATATATATCCTGAACTGTCATTTGGTTCACTATTTTCCTGTATGTTAAGTATTTCCTTTTAAAATTGACAACTAGAATTTTTAAATTAGTCTTCTTTCTCTGTTATCTGCAACTCAATTATTAAACTTTTGTTAAATTGAAAATTCTTCTCCAAAATAAAATCTTTTACATTATTTTAAGCATTGATTACTCATTTTTGTGATTATTATTGTGGTGTTTATTTATTTTTATCAAGAAAACTTCATTTTTCAAGACCACAAAACTCCACTGTTAATTCATTTGTAATATTTGTCCCATGAAACATAAAAGTTTGCAAAACTATAAAAATTAAATAAATCCAAATTAAATTTCAGTTAAAATACCTCAGCTATGAACAATGACAATTCAAATCGCATTCAGGCAGCACTTCATTAAGATTTCTGATTGGTTGATCACAAAAGTGTTGATGTAAAGATTGCAGCTTATTCTTCACTATCAGCATGAATAAATTCATTAGATTTTGAAAACCCGTTTCAGATGAAATCTGACCATGTTTTTTGCTAATAACTTAATTTTTGGTATTTGATGTTCAGGTCATAAGTTATTGTCATGCAATCCAAGTTTAGGCGTTTTTTTTGTATCCTTGTGTATTTCTTGTAGTTTTTGATGCTCTAAGTGTTTTCACAGACCCCTGCTGGTGAAACTTCATTTCAAAATATAACACATTTATTGTACATCCTGATATTATTCAGCTTCAGCCATATGCAGTTTTCAGTTTTATGTTAAACTGTACAAAATAATCAAGCTATGTGAAGTAGACTTGGGTATGCATCAATTTTGTGTGTGTGTACATTGAAAAAAACCAACAAGAATTTTTACTGACAGGGTTTTATTTTTTGTGAATAATTACCCGGTAGTGTATGTTGTCAAGAGTAAGTGTTATGAGTGTGTGCATGGGTTATATTACTGAAAGTCTGCTCATACCAGGCTGTATGTCATTTCAATTTGGCCAGCTATAAATGAAATTGGTGCTATAAAAATATTTATTTTGGTTATTAACTTTTAATGTGAAAATTACAAAAGAATGAATTGTTTTGTACTTCTGGGTTGAAAACCCATATGCACTCTCTGTATGTAAATATTTTATAAGCAGTTGTAATAGTTGATATATGTAAATAAAAATAAAAAAAGACACTGTTTGTGTTGTTTTAATGACTTTTATCCTGGCAATTGAAAAGTTAATTTGACTAGCTTGCATACATCTTGTATTATACAAGGATATGTTAAGTGGTTTTAATCAGCCAGCGTAAAAAATGTCATGGTGGGCACAGTGAGTATTCTTATAGGTATATAATAAGCAATGGCTGTGATTTTGAACATTTTTTTTTTTTTAAATACAACTACAAAGATGAGCATGGACGATTAGTGGCCCTTCACAAGAATAACTCAATTGCATGGACTATTAGCGGCCCTTCACAAGAATAACTCAATTGCATGGACTATTAGTGGCCCTTCACAAGAATAACTCAATTGCATGGACTATTAGTGGCCCTTCACAAGAATAACTCAATTGCATGGACTATTAGTAGCCCTTCACAAGAATAACTCAATTGCATGGACTATTAGTGGCCCTTCACAAGAATAACTCAATTGCATGGACTATTAGTAGCCCTTCACAAGAATAACTCAATTGCATGGACTATTAGTGGCCCTTCACAAGAATAACTCAATTGCATGGACTATTAGTGGCCCTTCACAAGAATAACTCAATTGCATGGACTATTAGCGGCCCTTCACAAGAATAACTCAATTGCATGGACTATTAGTGGCCCTTCACAAGAATAACTCAATTGCATGGACTATTAGTGGCCCTTCACAAGAATAACTCAATTGCATGGACTATTAGTGGCCCTTCACAAGAATAACTCAATTGCATGGACTATTAGTGGCCCTTCACAAGAATAACTCAATTGCATGGACTATTAGTGGCCCTTCACAAGAATAACTCAATTGCATGGACTATTAGTGGCCCCTTCACAAGAATAACTCAATTGCATGGACTATTAGTGGCCCTTCACAAGAATAACTCAATTGCATGGACTATTAGTGGCCCTTCACAAGAATAACTCAATTGCATGGACTATTAGTGGCCCTTCACAAGAATAACTCAATTGCATGGACTATTAGTGGCCCTTCACAAGAATAACTCAATTGCATGGACTATTAGTGGCCCTTCACAAGAATAACTCAATTGCATGGACTATTAGTGGCCCTTCACAAGAATAACTCAATTGCATGGACTATTAGTGGCCCTTCACAAGAATAACTCAATTGCATGGACTATTAGTGGCCCTTCACAAGAATAACTCAATTGCATGGACTATTAGTGGCCCTTCACAAGAATAACTCAATTGCATG